TAGCGTGATCAGTGATTTGAGACTACTTCATAGAAACAAAGGAAACTCACACGTGCCTTACCGCTATTTCATTTACGTCAGCAATATGCTGAGAAATAGAAGCCCGAGCTTGCTCTATAATAGGCAAGATAGTAGGAGAATTCACTCCTCACCTAGTGCTCATATACCCCAGACACTTTTAACAGTTGTCCAGTATGTTGTTTTTTTTTTTTTTTAGGAATTCTTTATAAAGGTTATTTTCTAATCCCTTTAACAGCAAACAAGTAGTCATATTGTGCATATTACAAAGCCCCTCAATTTTTCTGGCTGAAAAAAAAAGTGTCCCAAGTACAAAGGCTGAGTTAATGGAGAGCAAGTAATAATTATCCCCTCTGTTAGATCCCTCTCTCCCACCCTCTTTTTCTTGCAGTCTTGCTTTAAAATGCTTGGGTTGTCTGACGAAACCTGAACAACAGATTAACCACAAATGCATTCCTGGAATCTAAGTTCCTCTGGCATCAGTATTGTGTACAATTATCGGGAACATGGACCCCTGAGGGTCAGAATGAGAATCAGCATCAACTGAAATTCTGTTAGGGCAGCACAGCACTTCATTTCAGTAATACAGACAAATGCATACTCAAATCATTGGCACAGCAGCACAGCCTTAAAATGCATGAATTGATCTTGTTATTCTAATCCCTGTATTAGGTGAAAGCAGTATTATCAAAATGTTTACTTTGGGTATATATTTATCTTGCGTGCACAGAAACCAGACATTAGATCTTTTGTGTTAGAAATTTTAAGAAAAAAACAGACTTAATCACTCTATGACCAAATAAATCTAAATTTTGCTTTTCATTGAAATTAAATAAAGTATTTGTGCTGTCTGCTCACTGTTTCATTTTAATTTGTTTTCTCAGCAAGATAAGCTCCTTATAGGTAGGACACATACTCATAAGACTAGCACACATTGCAGTAATTCAGGAAAAAACTGCTGATTAAATGATCATAATCTAATTGCCAGAGATAAACAGTCCTATAAATACAAAGCACCGCTGCTACATAAATATGTATTTGGTGACCTTGAATTGGGAACCCTGTGGGTCAGAAGTACATGGGAAATACATGTCTGTTGAAGGGGGAAAAAAAACTTTCAACATAGCAAGTTCAGGTGATCTAGATGAATTCTCAGCAAGAATTTGGGCAAGAACCTCTATTGAGGTCACTTCTACTTAAATGAAATAGTTCCCAAATTAACAAAACAAGAATAGAAAGTCTTTTCTTGGAAAAAAGACCCAGGTCACATGTCTGTGCTTTGGAGTTTGTCCTTAGTTTCTCTCTTATCCTGAGTTCTTATTACTAGCATTCTAAGACTCTCTTGCATAAGATCTTAAGATTGGAACTCTTTTAAGACTCACCCAACCTGTTGTGTTCTCTAAGAAGCCTTCTCTGTTCATATAAGTTTAAGCCTACAATAAAAGTCCTTCTCACTTTCCTTCATACTCTGCATATTTAAGTCTTTAAGCCTTCTGCATCATGATTTGCTTGAATGTATCTGTATATTCTACCCACCTCACACAAGACTGTGAGTTCCATAGGCAGAGATTGATTCTGGCCTTCTTTGTCTATCTAATATTCAAGCATGGTCCTTTCTTTTTATGAATAAAACAGTTCAAATCAATTCAACTTACCAAATATAATCTTATTTTTTCACCTAGATGGTGGAAGGCTTTGATAGAAATCCTATCATAGGGAATTTTTCACTTTTATTCAGGAAAACTAAATGTAGATAAATCTCACAATGTCTGGTACTTTGTAGGTGCTTAATACAAAGATTCCCTTTAGAAAGTTTCAAAATATATTTTTGGTCAAACATTCTATTTAGAAATCTCTGGGTAATATCAGAATCTATAAGTGAAAGGTGTGTATACATACACACACACACACACACACACACATACACACACACACTGTTAAAAACAGAGGCTAAAATATGAAGGAAAAAAGAGATAAGATGCACGCACACACACAGAGGATTTTGCTCCCAAATATCTAGAGATCTGGATCTCCCCTGGTGGCACATGGTTGAGTGCTGGGCTGCGAAGCTGCCCGCAGCCTTTGTAGCGCCAGTTCGATCCCTGGCCGCCAGGCGAGGGTCCCACATGGTGTGCAGACCTCTCCTGCCATGCCCGCTGCTCCCCTCAGCAGTGGGTTTCATCAGTCTGCCTGTTCTGTTCCCCGCTCTGGCTCTGGTGAATTCTCTCACCCTCCTGTGCTTCTGACTGTACCCAGTGCTTGTATAAACAAACAAACAAACAAATAAATAAATCTAGAGATCTGATGCTTTATGGTGAAAAAGTATCTCAGAGTTTATCTTTTACTTCAACCCCTTTATTTTATGGATGAGAAAAAAATGGGAACAATGACTTAGTGGCCAAAATTAACTATTTAACCTGATATTTACTAAGCAAGAAGTTATTTTCACTGCACTTCTGTTGCAAAATGTTTTAAGACTAAGATTATTTTCAAAATTGATTAGAACACTGTATAATGCAACATCAGTAGCTTGCCTTTCAAATGCTAAAGGTGAGTGACGAGTATGAAGTGTTCATGGCAAAAGAAATAAAGAAAGCCGAGAACGCAAATGCAAATCACAAATCTATTTCTGGCTCTCACCTTGGCTACAAGCAAGATATATATTTTTTGCCACATCCATAATAAGAACTTAAGACTAATAAAATTGATGCTTATGCTAACAAATATGTGAGCACTTTTCTGAGAGCCATAAATAGAAACCATTCTAACAACAAGTTCAAAGCTACAGATCTGGGAAAAGATACTGTTCCTTTCAACTGGGTTAGCTGTGTCCACGTCCTAAAAAACCTCAAGGGGACTAAAACTGACAAAAGACTACACCATATAATTCAAATTGCTTCTTTGTGATCATCATGCATCACTTTTCAAATCTAAAGGCTTGAATTCAAGGGACCATTCATTACAGTTCAGTTTCAAGACACTAAGGAAGGTCATCTTCAAACTCAAATCAGGCCAAGTCTTATCCTATTAAATCTGAGGAAGATCATTCCACAAACAGAATGCGAATTTATTGTGCTCTAAATTGCTATCACTCTAATAACTTTTTGAGAACACTGACAAATCTAATTTAAAAAGATAAATCTGAACTCTAGCTCATAAAATTAAGAAAAATACTGTTCCTAATAGTAAGTTGCCTTAAATTGCCATTTCAATTTAGGCAAGACATTTACTTGATTAACAAGACTAGCCTTGGGTTATTTTCCCCCAAAGACAGAGTATATATTGATACCAGATTTTGCACTGTTTTCTGTCTGGTGTATTTAAATATCTCATGAAAGAACAAACTCAGATGAGTGGTCATGGAAAGTTTTTGTTCTGAGCATTAGCACCATTCTCCATACAAACCACAGGGTAGACGAGGCCCGGGAGTAGAGTCATCTGCACTGGGAGTCAGGAGGTAGCAGCTTTGATCTCAATTCTGCCACCAACTTTGACTACATTTTTGGTCTTATCATTTTTAAAGCAGTATAAACAGAAGAAACTCTCTAAGGAAGGTTCTTTCTACCTCCAATGGAAGTGAAGAGCTCAGGAAAAAATGAAAAGACTTGCTTATGAATTCCCCCAAAGGCTAGTTTTATAATTTTTTTTTTCCATTTTTCTGTTAGTCCACAATTTCTGCTCTTGTCAGTGCTCTCCAGTGGCAAACAGTTCCCTACCCGTAAAACAATGAGCCAGTGAAAGGGTGAATACGCTTGTCTAAGAGTATGAACTGAGTCTCTGAACCTACCAAAAGAAATCTTACATTCTGTGTGCTTTCTATATACTAGGGCTAGTTTCCAGTAGGAAAATCATTTTTTGTTCTTCTGCAGGCAAACTACTAGATTTGTCAGGTCCTTCAAAGTCAATTGCACAATCATCAGTTTGGAAAAAAGCAGTTCCTGATCTTTAGAACTGGAGGGTCTCTGCCTCCTCCAAACTTCCAGGGCATTTCCTGCAATGGAACTATTGTTCTATGACAATCTGTGGGTCGATCTTATGCTCCTGGAGGATGGTGCTGGTTCTTTCCTGTCTCCATAGAAGGCCCAAGTGAAACAGCACCTTCCACATAGCAGAACTTCATTGCACTGAAATAAGCGAAGACACTCCAGTACAGAGTTGGGGACAGTGAACAGGGGCTTCTGTGCTGACTAGAACCACTTTCCCAAGTAAAGGGACAAAATACTATAGTGCCCAAAGTGACAGAACTAATTCTATGCCAACAGTGGCTTTGTGCATCCGCAGGTATGCCGTAAGTCCAGCCGGTTGTCTTAGTTTTACTCCCTCCCCTTCCTGACTTCTCTGATTTGGGCTTTTGGTAACAGAACACTGTATCATTAGTTTCTGCTCTTCACTTGAATTATTCCTAAATACAGTTCAGTTGCCATCTTCTGATTGACCATTTTCAGAGAAAATGAAGTTAGGTTAAATAAATACTATGTAAAAGGATGGATATGATTTCTGTAGCCAAGAGTGTTTCCTGGGCATGGAGTCTTATAAAGAATGTTATTTGCTCTGGTTAATTTGATATTGCATTGCCCATAGTTACAGAGTACTATTCCCATCTGTACACCACCACAGCTATTTCAGACTGGTAAACATGTTTGTCTTGATGGTTACTGAATAATTTAAAGAGGTAACATCTCTTCCTGAGTCTTATTTCCTTCAGCACTCATGACTAATATAACACTGTTACAAGTAACGCTGTTACTTGAATTTGACAATTTTCTTTTTAGATAATTTCTCTCCTTTATTTGATTTTATGAAAGAAAAAACAAACACATATATTATCACAGCAGGGAAACCAGGATCTTTAGAATGTTCGTTGAGAAATTTCAAATTGAAAATGGAGGATATAATTGAGTACACAATGCAGGACCCAAATACATGGGAAATCTTTCAACGAGGAGGAAGAACATTTTAAAGACAACCCCCAACCCCCTTACCGTTTGTTTCTGTCTTCCAGCTGCAGTGTGTACACCATGTCATCAGCAGCATGCGTTTTGGAGTTGCTGTCTCCCCATTTCAGCTTCAGGCTCTGAGGCCCGGCTGCAGCACACTCGAGCCTAGGAGGCAAGGGTGGTAATGGCCGAGTTTTTGCTTTAATGAACTCACTAAATGGTCCAGCTCCAATTTCATTTATGGCCTGAATTCTGATCCTGAAAAAGGCAAAAAATACAAATATTGCAGGTTTAAAAAACTGATTCCTCATTGAAATGAACATTGTTTGGAGTAATTCTTACTTGCCCTTAGAGTGGTTATCATGGAAAAAAGAAAAACAAATTGAAGTAATTTAAGACAAATTGAGAATTAGGTAGCTTTAGGCCAAATTATACTCTCTGCTCCAGAAAGAGGAGAAAACCAACAGCCCATTATTAAGATACCCTTAGTTCTTTAATTAAAAAGGGAGGGAGGCCACTGTCTGAGGGACCGCATCTTGAAGATGTGCTTTAATATTTTGTTCTAGTCACCCTTCAGCTGCCTCAAAGTCAGTTTTGGAAGTAGGCCAAGGAGAATAAATGATATGGAAGAAATACATCTCCTTCAGAGGTCCAAAAACAAAAGAAACCAACTCTTCAACAGGGCATTTCTCTCTCCTCTTACTAGCCTCAGGTCCCATCTCCACAGTTCTTATCACAGCTGAGCATGCAGACAGTGCTGGTGAGCAAGTGCCTTTCAGATGTAATGAAAATATATTAACACTTTCCTCATGGTCTAGGAATTTTAAAATAGTGAAACTATATATATAAAACTATATATAAAAATGATATCCTATTATTATTCCTTTTCTCATTCTTTTATCTTCTTACTAGTTAATTAACACAGTTGGCCATTAAACAGCACACTGATGGCAATGTTTCATCCTCGTCCTTGGCAACCATTCCTGCAGTGACTGCATATTCTTAAAGCTGGGACTTCCTTTCCTCTTCTGTACAATACTTCCTACAATTCTGTTCTTTCAATAACCTCACACAATTTTGCAGCTTACCCTACTCTAAGACCACTCCAGGTCTGTATCCCTCTAGTTCCTTCATAACCTGTTACCAAGCCTCCAGGGGAAATACCACCCAAACACCCTGGTAGGCACACAGGCACCTTACTGAATTGACGAGAGTGATGTCACTAGTTCTGAAAGGTTCAACATTAAAACCTGATTTGAAATCAAAAGCAATGTTTCCTAACAAATGATAACAAAAAACACCGCCCAAGAGATAAATTCTTAGGCAACAGGTCAGCTAAAATATTCTTACAATGTAGCTATTAACAACTATTATTACTTATACTTAAGTAGAAATTATCAATACGTATGTAGGAAATATCATTTAGATATTCAATACCTAAATTTATCATGTGACCTCAAATTAAAATTCTTCAAACTTAAAGATCATGTAATTCAGCAAGTCAATCTAATAATATGACTGTAGGTTGTTAAGAAGAAAAAAAAAAAACAGGTTAATTCCAGGTGAGAGAGAGTAAAGCACATTCTACCTTACTCTCCCACTGAATAAGGTAATTAATTAAACTTGAATAAAACAAATTCAGCAACTACTTAAGAACTCCAAAAAGTAAACAATAGCTGGAGGATATGGGGAAAAATATGCAGCATCATCATGCCAGTAGTGAGCTTACTATTTCCCCCTTCCATTATCTTCTAGGCTGGACTCCAGGCAGCCTGGTATCCCAGAGTGGTCATCTGCATTGCTGAAGGGAGTCCTCTGAAAGCTCAGAGTGAAAAGGGAAAATCTCTTACCCTCTCTCCTTTTTCTACATTCTCTCATTATCCAGACCATAGCCAATCCCAGCATATTAATAACCATATCAATTGATGCAGAAAAAGCATTTAATAAAAGTTCTCAGTAAATTAGGGATAGAGAGAACTTTCTCAACCTGAAAAGGGCATCTATGGAAATACATATAGCTGACAACATAATCAATGGTGAAAAGATTGCTATTCATCATGTCCTAGAAATTCTAGCCAGTAGGGAAAAAAGGGACAAGAAAGAAAGAAATGAAATATAAAACATTGTTGAAAATATTAAAGAAAACCTAAATAGAGACATACAGTGTTCATGAATTGGAAGACTCAACACAGCAAAAATGTCAATTCCCTCAAATGGATTTATAGATGTAATGCAATTTTAATAATATTTCAGCAAGATTCTTCTCAGTAGATAAAGGTAAGTTGATTCTAAAAGGAAAGGCAAAGGAACTAAAATTGCCAATACAAACTTGAGAAATAAGGATAAAGTTGGAAGAATCACACAACCTGATTTAGGTCTTACTATAAAGTTACAGTAATCTAGACAGTGTGGTATTGGTAAAGAGACAGACACACAGATCAATAAAACAGAATAGAGACTCCAGAAATAGATCTGCACAAATATAACCGATTGATTTTTTGACAAATGTGCAAAAATAATTCAATGAGAAAGAAAAGTGTTTTCAACCAATGGTGTAAGTCTCAATCTAAACTTCACCTCTTAAAAGAACTTAATCCAAAATGGATTGTAGATCTAGACTTACATATAAAATACAAAACTTTAAAGAAGAAAACAGGAGAAAATATGTTACCTAGAATTAGGTAAAAACTTTTTAGAAATGATGTAAAAAGCATGATCTATAAAAGAAATGGAAAAATAGACTTCATCAAAATTAAAAATTTTTGCTATTTTTATACTATTATATTTAATACTACTTTAATACTATCATATTAGAAAATAAATATAATATTATATTAATACCCTTAAGGAAGAAAAAACCCATGATTATATCAGGGAATGAAGACAAGCTATAGACTGGGAGAGAATGTGTGTCAAGGAATCATATCCAGAATGTATAAAGACCTTTCAAAACTCAACAGTAAGAAAACAAAAACAATTAAAAACTGGGCAAAAGACAAGATCAGACATTATACCAAAGAGAGTATATATAAGGCAAATAATCACATGAAAAGATGTTCAATATCATTAGCCATTAGGGAAATGCAAAATAAAACTACAATGAGCTAGCACTATGTCTCTACTACAATGGCTAAAATAGAAAATATTTCATACCATGCTGGTAAGGGATAAAGAACAACCGAACCCTCATATTTTGCTGGTGAGAATGTAAAATGATACAGCCATCTTGGAAGTTTCTTGACAAAGTTTCTAAAAAGGTTACATATACTTAGCATATGACCCAGCATATCTTGGGTTTTCTTCGAGATAAAATAAAATTTATGTTCTCGCAAATACTGATACACAAATGTTTATAGAAGCTATATTCATAATGATCAGGCTAACATTGAAAGATTAAAATAAACTCTTGCCTACCAACATGAGTCTTATAAAGTAACTTTATGGTAGTAATACCTTTTTCTATGATTGAAAAGTAAGACATTTTTCTGCAACCGAAGAGGAAAAATCCTTTTTAAAAGATGGTCATCATAGTAGTAGAAATTAATGGCCTCTCTCTTTTCTCAGGAAAAGGGAATTAAGTCAGACATCAATCTCTTTCTTTCTTCAATGGTATAACAAATTTCCTCACCTACAAGGTTTATACAAAGGTCCTTCTAGGGTCTGAACTGCCACCCCTACCTTTTATTCTAGAAAATAAAGGTATCCTTAGAGTCTCACAGACCAAGATGTTTATTTCCATCGGCCTAGTCTTTCAGAGCCAAGTTCACCTTGCATTCCATGGGATCCTACTGCTTTGGTCAGTGCAGACCATATTGTCCTTAGCTATGTTAATAACAAAAGAGAGGTAATTAATGGGTTGCTTAAGACTGTCCTATTCCAGAAAAATAAGTATTACGAGATCTAAATGATCTAAAATTTTAAAAATAGTTTATAAAATTCAAGCATCAAAGTGCAAAAAACCCACAGATTTAATGTATGATTTCTTTTGTAAATTGATCTATTTTCTCAAAGTCTCCACAATGAACTGCTAGGTTTTGGATTCCTTATATCTGTGACTCCATGGTTCTCTGAGCATTTACTGAGGAGTATTTGGTGGGCATATAATTATAGCCTTAAATACATACACACACACACACACACACACCACCACCACCACCACAAAATAACAACTATAACAAGAATACTAAAGTAGCAATTTAACTGTCCTTAGCAGCATAGCCTCTGAAATCATCATCACTTTGATGACCTTGAACAAATCATCTACCACTTTTAAGTAACAGTTTCCTTATCTAAGAATGGGGATCGTAATATTTTTGCTGTACTTATAAACAAGATTAAGTTACAATAGGGATATGGAAAGCACTTCCTATTTATTAATTTTTAGTATTTTTGAGTTTATCATACAACCAGAAAATGATCCGAGGAGGGGCAAAAGCATGTGGGTGAACTTAAAAGCACTGATTTATGGAGGTATTACTCTTACGCTGCCTCGTGAGCTGTCATTTCTTGCAATGGTGAAGAAAACATGTTGGGGTGCATGAGGAGTGACTGGACACACAAACATAAGTCTTCATTTCAGCTGCATTATTACCAAAAACTTTGTAACTTGAGCACATTGCTGATGACATCTATTCATTTCCTTCGCCTCAATTTTGGCCAAGGACCCAGCAACAGCAAAAAGGACTGAATTTTTAAACCATCCTTAGAAGGTGAAGGTGTGACAAAGAGCTTGGGAAGAGACAGAAGTGATAACCACCACCACAACACCAAGCATTTGCTCTGTTCAAGGACTACGCTGTGTCCTAGGAACTAGTGTTTTTTCCTTGCTTTTAGAGACAAAGAAACTGAAGTTAACTGCAGAGATTAAATAAGTCAGACTAAATGGCACAGTGGCTACTCATTTTGAAATGTAAGTTTGATATGTACAATATTATCTCTGATTTCTACCCTGACTCCATGAAATAGGAACTACTATTATACAAGTAAAGCAACTGAGGCCCCTCTAGCTTCTGTCATTTGCTCTGCTCTATCCAGCAGAAGCAGGTCAGACCTTGTTGTGACCTAGTGCTTGTTAAACTCAAGTGTTTGTGTATTCTGGCAAACCATACTTTCCAAGCAATAATATGGGTTGAACAAGGCTACAAATCCAATCAAAAGATAATTTTAATTTGATTACTATTTCAGCTCAACAACTTTATTTTGCCAATAAAATAGACATTTAGAATAGTCAAGAAATTTATTTTCACATATTTAAACAA